ATGGAATTAGCTAAAATAATTAACATCAATTTTTTTTTTTTGGATAAATGACTTTTCTTCTTGTAAATATACAAATCACTTGAACCATTAACATAAGTACACTTACAAAAATTTAAACTCTATCTATTTATCAATACATTTGACTCAATAAATCTATATAATATAATATTATATATGATACATATTTATATTTATTTTACAAAAATCAACATACATACTTATCGGTTTGAGGACATCATCATCACATAGACAAACAACCAACTTATAATTATCATCATAAATCTAGCATGAGAAAATGAGGAAGTAGTCTAGCCGAAAAACGACTTGCCGGGTTGACCCACCAAAAAAAACTACAGGTTTTCCGGCAAGTCATCCTTGGCTGGACCACATAAAACCTCATTCCCACATGCAAGATTTTAGATGAAACCTAATCATCTCAATCAAAATGTAACCCCTCATTTCTCTCTAAAACAAACTTCTATGTAGATAAGTGGGCTAGAATTACACAAGAATAATGATTTATTTGGAAATGATTTGTTAAAATCTCCAAGAAATATGGAGTTGCCAAAAGGAGAAAGAAGCCTAGATTCTCTCAAGAAAACAAATGGGTTTCCATTCTTACGAAAACAAAAGGAAATGGTTGGAAAAAACACAAATGAGTGGGTAGGGTGGGGGAAAGGTGTTGATTTCTAGGAGAGTCATAGATTTGGGCAAAATCTGTAGGGTACTTCCAAACTTTCTTGTGCATTACCCAATTGTACAATTGCACATGATGTGCAATACCCATTTGTACAATTATTATAAATGGTGTACATTTCATTTATAAAAAGATTTCATGAATAAGATGTGACCTAACAAGAACTCTTCACCCCCTATCAACTAGGGGTCTAACTCTATAACCTCATCTAGCTTTCTCCACTTCTTGGATTTAAAAAAACAATGTTATCATAAACTACAATTTTGACATTATAACGTGTCTATCATCCAAGTTAGAATCACACTAGATTGAAACTAAAAACTAAAAATAAAAAAAATGTCTAGAATAATTTGGTATATATTTGAGTTCATGATAGAATTTGTTTGAAGAACTAAGTTTGTTTTTATTTGAGAAATATAAGTATTAAACAATATTGTTTCAAGTTTTAAATTACGTTAGGGTTTCATTACTATCATGACATCAATGATTCAATCTTCAATTCTTCTAAGAGGCTAGAATTGCCATGAACAAACATAGCAATGACAAGGAACATACTTTCGTTATGCTATTAATACTTTTACACTTTTACTTGCTCTGACGCATAAAGTTTTGCATGAAAGATAACCAAATAGAAAATGGATTCATTAGAAGTGTTTGATTTTGGAAAACAAAATTGAACATAGCATCTATCCAAAATAATCTTTGCAAACCCTTAAATCTTATTGATAAAACTCAATCTCCCTTGTGAATAGATGTGAAAGGGGGTGTCAGCATTAATTTAGTACGTTACAAAGTCTTAAAGATTTGATACCACAACCTAGAAGAAATATGAGATATTTGTTAAACAAAATGGCAAAGAAAGATCAAAGTCTATACAAAATTAAAAGAAATTATATTTTAATTGTCCAGAAAATATCACTTATGTATGAAAGACCTTTTTAATTGATCTATTTATCCGTTTAAGATTTTGATGTGATTGACCATATTTTTAAATCCTTTAAAATTTATATAATCGTTTTATCAATATTTTTTTAATTATAATGAAAGGTTTTTATTACAGAATTTGTGTGAGTTTTGCACAGGGAGTTGGTTGGGCAAATTTACTTCTTATATGAATAACTCCCACCAGACCGCATTCTGCCTAGGAAAGTGACCCATGACAACTACACTTTTGTACTTTTTTCTTTTAACATAATTATTTTTTAATTTCTCTTTTTATTATTTGGATGAACTAAAAGTTTATTACTATTTTAAACACAATCACCTGATTACAACAATATAAATTAGTTTGAAAAGCTGATAATATTTAAAGTATCATAGACAATGGAAAATAACATACAGTTTGTTAACTTGCTGTGGATAAAAGGGTCCATAGAACTTCATATTTTAACAATATAATGTACAAAAAAACATATTTCACAACAACATAAAAGAAAACATATTTTACAACTATATAAAAAATAAATTTTGAGAACGAAAATATGTCATGTCAAATACATGTGATATATGTCGAACTGAGATATTAAATAATTATGTAGATAAAAATGAAACAATCTCGGTGATATATTTGGATTTATACTTAGTATTACGTACTACAAAAAACGTACTTCATAACAATATAAGATAGATTTTGAGACTGAAGATATGTCAAGTAAAATATATACAAACTTATATTGTTTATATAGATAAAAGACAAAACTGCAAAATTGATCCCAATGGTTTGCGAAAAACTATAGATATCATCTAAAAAGTTTCCAACTTGCATTGAATGTCCAAAATTAAGAAATTTTCATTATTTTAGTCCAAAAAAATTTGAAAAGACAGTTATACCATTTTATTTTCTTTTTTGTAATTTTTATAATTATTCTATTACCAATTTAACTTAAAAAAAAGACAAAAATGCAAAAATGGTCCCTGTGGTTTGTCATTTTTTGTGGATATGGTCCAAACCTTTTGAAAATTGGATTTTTGGTCCTTATTGAGAGGTTTGTATGTGGAACAGGTCCCTGGAGTTAACCACCGTTTGTTTTTGGCTGTTAAACCCCTCATGTGCATTGCACACGAGGGCATAAATGTATTTTTACTCAAGAGGAGACGGATGAACTAAATTCATCGATGGAAGCTCCAGCGGTGGATGATATCACGAGGGGAGGGAAGGGCGTCGATCTCTGGCGACCCTTGTGGGCTTAATCGTCGTCTGATCGAGAATGAAAAAACGAACGGGTCGATCGGCGAGCACATCACGAGAGGGGAAGGAACAGGGCAGATTGACGATGATTTTGGGGGTGTTTGATGTTATGGAGCCGACTAGGAGCATCGGGAAACTTAAGAGGGTCATCGCCCTCTTGATCGCCGACAAACCTACACTCGCCTCAGGTGGAGGTTCTTCGACTGCAAATGAAGAAGAAAGAGGGAGGAGAACGACGGTATCAGGGGTTTTTGGGGCGATGTTTTTCAGCAGGAGGAGGAGGGGTAGCTCCTCGATGGTTCACCACAAAACCGCCACTACCGGTGGTGCTTGGCTGGACCGAAGAGAAAAAGAAGAATGGAAGTAGCGGGGGGTCTCGTCGGTCTTGGTGGTGTTCTGTGACAACGAGGGAGGCCGAAGTTGGGTTGAGAGGGTTGTTACAGGTTTAATCCAGTTGTTTCTTCTCTTTCTTTTCCGGTCACAACAATGGAAGGAAGATGGTGGTGGAGTTGTGGGAGACGATTGGTGGTGTTGGGGTTGCTGTGTGGTCGTGAGGGAAAGGGGGATTCCATGAAGCTCCTTCTTGTTTTGTTGCAGGTATACACGAGAACGAGAACCAATTTGTTCTTGGCTGGGAATGAAGATGCAAACATACACAAAGAATCAATCAATTTTTACTGTAAGGGTTCAATTGTTGTTGGTTGTTTGGGTTGTGGATTTTATCATTGTTAATTTGTGGTTGAGTGATGTTTTGATTGAGTGTTGGGTTGAAGAAACTGTTCACGTAATGTTTTTAATTGTGATGTGCAGAATTATTTATGCCCATTGTTTCCTCTTGAGTAAAAAGACATTTATGCCCTCGTGTGCAATGCACATGTGGGGTTTAACAGCCAAAAACAAATGGCGGTTAACTCCAGGGACCTGTTCCACACACAAACCTCTCAATAAGGACCAAAAATCCAATTTTCAAAAGGTTTGGACCATATCCACAAAAAATGACAAACCACAGGGACCATTTTTGCATTTTTGTCTAAAAAAAAGGAAAAGAATCACCCCCACCCCCACCCCCAACCTCCCAACCTCTCTCTCCTCTCTCTCTCTCATCTCTCTCTCCTCTGCTCTCTCGCTCTCTCTCTCTCTCGCGTCTCTCTCCTCTCTCTCTCAGCGGCTCTCCTCTCTCTCGCTCTCTAAATCCATATGGTTATAAATCCATATACCATTTTATTTTCTTTTTTGTAATAATTATTTTATTACCAATTTAACTTTAAAAAACAAACCGAATCAACCCTCCACACCCCCCACCCCCACCTTCACCGTTCTCTCTCTCTCTCAGCTCTCATCTCGCTCTTCACCTCTCTCATAACCACATAGAATACAAACAGGCATCCTCTTCATCTTCTCCGACCATCCCTCCAAAAAAACCTTAAATCAATAATAAACACACATAGAGAGAGAGAGAGAGGTACTTTCCAAGTTTTTATTTTAAAAAAGATTAATTCAATAATAAGGAAATGTTAAGAAATCCAAAAATAAAATTAAAAGAGTAAGAAAGTCTTTTCAAGTATTTCACGGATCAAAATCATAGAAATTTTCAGATTTTGAACATTTCATGCAAGTTGAAAACTTTTTGGACCCTATCCATAGTTTTTTGAAAACCAAAAGGACCAATTTTGCAGTTTTGTCTAGATAAAATGAGATGATCTCAAATTCTCAATGATATATTCATATTTATGTCAAGTATTACATATGACAAAAACGTACTTTATTATGACGATCTCAACAGCTTATGCTCACTTTGACATGGTCATAGATAAGTTAGTGTATCTTTTGAGTTTATTGGGATTTAGTTTTAGATGTTTATAAAAACTAGCATTATGATAAGCTATTTGAGATACATTATTTATAAACTAGCTATCATCAAGCCATCAAACACAACTTTAATAAAAAAAAAAAATCAGTTGCTAAGATCAAAACAGGTTATTACACAGTTACAGGTTATAAAACTCATGTTCGTTGATTTGCTCATATAAGTTGATTTTGTTTTGAGTTCACGCCCATATATACTCTATATATACCGATTGTTTTTTTGTAAACCATGACCATAACTAATCACAACATATCAATGGTAACACCTGCTTCTTCACAGTTGACACAGTCAAACCAATTTTATGTTATCCCTAAACTCAGTGTATTGTAACATCTTAATAATCAAAAACCAAATCAAGTAAAAAAAACAGTAAAAGATTAAGCATCGTCTACCCAAAACCAAAAAAACATCTTCACAAACCTTCAACCGACCTCCGTTTCCATTTCTTTCAAATTGGTATATGCCCGCTCTTCCACTCACCCATAGAAAAAAAATAGATATATAAATAATATATATATATATATATATATATATATATATATATACCGATATAAAGCATCTTGCAAAGAGACTAAAAACTTTGTGGGTGGGACAAAAAAATTGCAATTTTTTGTCGGTATTAGTATATCACAGTATCAGTCTCAGTTCAATACATGGCAAACACAGTATCACAAGGTTGTGTTATTTATGTTATGACCTAATAGATGAAATATGGTAAGAGGTGGATGAATGATGATGGGAAGGGTGAGCATGGGTTAAAATATAACAAGGACAAGCACACAAAAGGCCTAGAAGAGATGATGTAATTAAATAGTTAACATTACAAAGTGTCAAAAGGTTTCTTGGAATTTGGAAACATTGATTGATTAAGATTTAAGTAGATTCAAGGCACAGGTTGTTTGGAACTTAAGAAATCAAAGCTTATGGTAGTAGTAGTAGTAGTTTCAGGACATATGGATAAATATGACATCACTAGTAATATTTTTTCATCTTCAAATGGTAGGTAAATTTTGCAACACTCCTCTGGTCTGGTTTTAGGCTTCAGGCTTGGCTTGGCTTGGCTTGGCTTCAAGTGTCAAGTGTCAGCTGTTTTATCGGGAATAATGGAAGAAAGGAAACAAGGTTAAACTTAACCATATACATTTACTACGGGGTACTTTATTCCTATTTCCACACACACACACACTCTCTCTCTCTCTCTCTCTCACACTAATCTACAATTTGGTATAAATAATATATCAATCAGCCTTTGGAATTGGAAATTGGAAATTGTAACCGGGTAAATTCATATTCTAAAATTGTAGACAAGGAAAACAACAAAACTAATAAACCTTGTAAACAATAAAAACTAAAGGTCTATTTACTTGTGTATGTACATACTTGACTTCAACATAAATATAGCATGGAACAATTAGAAGATAACATGTTATTTTTTTTATTACTTTTACGCAATGAGGCTTTTTTATTTTAATGAATTAGGGATTGTTTGAGATGCCACTTAATGGGTATAGTAAGAAGCTGTGTCTTATGTATGCCTCTTACTGGTTTTGTAAGAAGAGGTGTGTGACTCATTCAACAACTATCGAACATCCCCTTAGTATTTTATTACTTTTATGCTAATGTTTCAAATGGTAAATTACATTTTTGGTCCTCCACATTTCACTTAAATGACTATTTTTGGTCCCCAACTATAACTGTTTTTTGCAATTTTACTCCCAAAAATATAGTCATTTTTTTGAAACAATGACCAAAAACATTAAATTAAGTCCCAAAACTGCATGAGAAACTTTTTTGGGACCAAAAATGTAATTTTTCTATTTTTTTAATTTAGGCTAAATTACATTCATCATCCCTGTGGTTTATCCAAAGTTACAGATACTGTTCCTAAAAGTAAATTTTTGTTCAAGATTGTCCTTTGGTATAACTTTGTTCTATTCTTTTGCCCTAATTTTATATTATTTAACTTTTTTTTTATTATTTATTTATTATTTATATTATTATTAGCTGGGAAAAATGGGGCAGTGGTTTTCAATGGAGGAGGAGGTGAAGTAGTGGCTCTCCCTTGCCTTAATGATAATATAAAAAGCAAATGAGTAATAAAAAAGTTTTAAAAAAAAATCAGAAAAGGGCAAAACAGTCATTTTACATCAGTTATAGAGCAAAACTGAAACAAAAAAACTAAACCACAAAGTGATGATGAATAATATCATTTAGCCTTTAGTTTATTTATTATGTTTGATATTCTGAACTAAAAAAATTATGTTTAAAAATTTATGAAGTTTGTAATTTCTAACTTTTTTTTAAATTAAAAAAAATCAAGATCTTTACTCACCTTCAATAACCATAATCCCTCCGCCTAGAACTAGGGTTATTATCTCGCCTTGATAACCTGCCAACACAAAATTTATTTATTATAAATAATATTTAATAAATTTAAAAAAATCAAAATATATATATATATATATATATATATATATATATATATATATATATATATATATTATATACTTACCCAGAACTACCACTGCGACCTGAAGAATAGCTACCATACGCTCCATACGAATCACCACCACTTCGTCCCTAAAAAAAATATTATTAAATTAAATTAATTAGCGTAAAATTGTTTTATTTTTATATATTTAAATATTTAATACCTGTAAGCTACCACCATAGCTTCCATATGCATCGCCAGGTGGCAAATCAGTAGATGCAGTATTATGATTATTATTATTATTATTATTATTATTATTATTATATCACCAGAAGAATAAGAATGTCCTCTTCCATGATGATGTCCTTTTGAAGAATCTCTACTTTCATACTTTCCAACATCAGCCACATCAGGTGCTACAGGAAGATATGGAAGAACTGGGACAAATGTCGATAATGCCCCTTCTCTTTCAAATAGATTTGCCCTTAACCTTGATGTCACTTGTAACAGTGCGTCCTTTGCAAGATCAAGATCTGCAGAAATCTGATAAAACCAAAAGGGGTAGTTTGGTAATCACATACAGAAAAACTTTTGTATACAATAATACTACACACAGCTTACCTGTACCATCTCATCATCACGATCTGCAACTTTTGGGAGATTCTCTTTGGAAAGTATACGAATATTTGCTTTTGTAATTCTTCTTATTTCTGTGATTATTGCTCCTCCTTTTCCAATAAGGCATCCGATTCGAGAAGTTGGAACAAGTAATCGAGTGGTGAATGAAATTAGACCTGAATCTCTCTCTACTCTCTCACTACACCTTGGTTGTAAACGTAATGCAGCTTCTATAGCTGGAGAAAACGCATCTTCAAATGCCTATAAATTAATTGATTACAAATTACATAAGGGTAAAAAGGTCATTTTGCACGAGTCAGAAAATAAATACTCAAACAAAGACCAAACTTTGGGAAGATTTAATAAAACGGAATGAACTTGTGAGTTTGAGTAAAGTACAGGGACCAAATGTGTAATTTACATAAATGTATGTGCTAATTTATTTTTAGTTTATACTTTACTTAACATTTTAATTTGTACAATTAATTGCTAGTTGTATTTTTCTTTTTAACTTTCAACTTATTAATCAGATTGGGTTGAGATTTTCAACTCATGGACCCGTTTACCTAGAAAAAGATTGGGTCAGTGTTGACATTCTTCACATAAAGGTTAAAAAATTAAAAAATCACATACGAGTAAAAAAGTCATTTTGCATGAGTCAGAGATAAAAACCAAAACAAAAACAAAAGATTTCATAAAGGTGTAATGAACTTGTGATTTTGACTAAAGCACAAGGACCAAATGTATAATTTACTCAAAAGCAGGGAACGTTTCTGTAACTTTGTGAAACACAAGGACCATTTTGTAAACTTGATAATTGGCAGGGACCGGTTCAGTAATTTTATGAAACATAGGAACCATTACTATATATAATAAAAAAGCAACTAGCCGATGAATAGTATACTTTTGGGTTTTAGACTTTAACTACAATAGTTTCATATGTTGGCAAGTTTGGTCCCTGTATAGAAAATAAATTACAAAATCTGTCCCTTTAATTTACAAAAAAGGTCCTTGTGCATTTTTTTATGTTTGGGCTTTAGACTTTGACCATAAAACTTTCGTATGTTGACAAGTTTGGTCCCTGTGTAGAAAACAAACTCTCCCTGTAATTCACAGAAAAGGTCCCTACACATTTTTATTATAAAAAAATTTCACGTGTTTAAATAGTATACTCTTTGGTCCATGTGTTTAAAAAAATTAGAAAAACAGTCCATGCCTAATAGAAAATTTACATATTACCCCCCACCCCCACCCCCCCCCCCCCCCCCCACACACACACACACAATTCTGTGAAACACAGGGACCATTTCTGTCTGTATAGGGTGATAGGGACCTTTTGTTTAAACTACAGAGACCGTTTTTGTAATTTATTTGCTACATAGGGACCATTTTGGTAAAAAGAAATTCTTAGAAATAGAATTACCTCTTTGGCTGAAATAGATATTATGCAATCATCTGCTTCAGTAGCTGAATTATCAACTTTAATAGCTGCACCAGTTTCCTGTCTAATTTGATTAATTATAGCACCACCTTTTCCTATTACACCACCAATGTTTCCAGTTGGGCAAATCAAACGAAGATGAAATTCCCTTGGAGAAGAATCCTCACGTGGGCCCGGGTAAAACCCACGTGGCCATTCACCACCACTTTCACCCTTGTACCCACCATACGCACCCATAAGTGGGGCCAACCCCATGATTGGTGCCCCCCCAGGTGTACCCCCCATGAGGGACCCACCAGAAGGGTATGCATTAGGTGTGGAAGAAGATAACAGGTGTTGAGATCTTGATGGGTTGTCATGAAGGCGTGTTGCTATTTGGAAGAGTGCTTTTCTTACTATAGATGATTCACCTGATATCTGTTTCATGAGAAATTTTGAGAATCAAGGACAGAATTGTCATTTTTAACTTATTAAATAAAGTTTAAAAAAAAAATTGTAAATAAAATTGTTTCTTTTTTACTTAATGGGTTACGCTAAAAAACCTGATTCATACAGTTTTAAATAGATGAATATAGTTGTTGAGAATGGTGAACTTTGTGAATAATGTAAGGGTAAAATGGTCATTTACCCTTACAGTTTAGTCTCATTCATACAGTTTATTAACTATATTCATCAATTCTCACACTAAAGTTGATAAATATGGTTAAAAATGGTGAATTTTGTGAATATTGTAAGGGTAAAATGGTCATTTAGTCTCATTTATACAGTTTATTAACTATATTCATAATTCATCAATTCTCATACTAAAGTTGATAAATATAGTTAAAAATGGTGAATTTTGTGAATAATGTAAGGGTAAAATGGTCATTTAGTCTCATTCATACAGTTTATTAATTCTAAAAAAGAAAAAGGCCTAATGTGTGCATGAGTGTTTCTTTTTGACTTAATCTCAACAATAAGTCTGAATTGGTTAAGCCCAAAAAAAAACATGTCTTAATGTATTAATCACAAACCCTTTGCCTATATGCCCTTCTTTTTCCTCCAACTCCTCTCACATTAAAACTAATGAAAAATGTGAAATTTGTTTTATAGAATATAAGGGTAAAATGGTCATTTAGTCTCATTTAAACGACTTATTCAGTGTAGAAAAGAAATTTGTTTATGGAATGTAAGGGTAAAATGGTCATTTAATCTCATTCAGTGTAGGAAAGAAAGTTGTTTTATAAAATGTAAGGGTAAAATGGTCATTTTGTGATTTACCTGCACAAGTTCATCACTGCTTAATGCACAAGCAGGCAGGTGATTATCTTTCATGATCCGAATCTGAGCACCAGTATCAGTTCGTATAGTTTGAACAATCTGTCCACCTTTTCCAATAACACATCCAATTTGATCTGAAGGGACAAGAAGGCGAACTGTAACTTGTGGTGTTTCTTCAGGATCCATGTCATCCGCCAGGTCATCAGCAACAACTCTATCATACACTTTGAAAAGAGCATCCATTGCTGGACACACTCGTTCATCAGGATCATCAAAATCATTTGTTTCATCACTCGTGCTATGGATAGTCACCACACGTTCATCACACCCTGAAACTGTTTCTCCAATTCTGATTTTTGACTTGCTTTCGGATCTTAATTGCTTGATTATATCACCACCTCTTCCCATTATACTTCCAATTCGTTTACTAGGACATAAGTAGCGATACACAGTGTCATCTGAGCCAATAGAGTTTTGTCCTCCTCTATCATCACTGTTGTTACGCCTCTTACTTCTTCCATGATCACTGTAATCAGATTGAGAATGTGAACGTTTTCCATGACTACTTCTTTGCCCAGCCATATGGTGCAAATAAGTACCTATTATAAGAAATCAGATCCATGAGCATGTTCATATTGAGGAAGCAGAAGTAGGGAAGAATAAGTAACTGGAAGTTCAGAAAAGCATGAATGAATGTGCTGCAAAAGTGAGTATCTTTGGGTTACTAGAGGATTGCAGCACTAATAATCAGAGTTAGATGAGCAGTTAAGAAGTTAATGAAAGAAATCTGATTAGTGAACTTATCCCTAATCAAGCAATTATCTGATTTTGTGATTCTTTAAGCAACAATAATCAAATTGAACATGAGTACCATAAATGAAGAATGTTCTAAGCAATGAATTAATAAAACCGAAGGTCAAAAAGTGAAAAGCAGAAGACACGATGATCGTTTCAAAGTCTTTGAGCTCGGGTCAAGATCTAGATCTGGAAACAGTAAATCGACGGTAACATTTTTCAAATCTAAATGTAAAATATTACAAAGTACGAGGAAAACTAATACAGGAATCATTGAAAACCACTACAAGATGCAACTTTGTTTTCTCTAATCGGTCTGTAAACTAATCTAAAATATGTATTATTAACATTCGCGATAATAAATGCCTGAAAACATAAATTTTAATGTTTCATATGCTTCCTACACAAATCTAATAACTTGCAAGACAAAAAGGATTAGAATTTGATACCTCGTTGAGATTGCAGAGAGAATTGAGCAAATGGCGAGGTCAACTCGACGTTGTAGATTCAAGAGAGAGATGAACACCTTCTGTATTTTGGTATTGTAGGGTTTCTGACTATCGATCCAAAAGTCGTGCACGGAACATATAAAATACACATAAACCGACTCCTAACAAATAAAACCCTTATTTTCTTGATTTAACAACAAACTATCTCATGTCTTAACTATTAACATTAAAAGTTTTCGACAATTATGTGGTTCGTCCCTCTGATTTGCCATAGTTTCCAAAAATTGTACGTCTTATCCTTTTTCTATTTAAAGGAGACGCTTTTACCTTTTTCAACTAATTCTAATATTTATATATTTTTAATTTTTATAAATAAAAGATAAACAGGTAAATAAGTCTCTCTCTCTCTCTTACTTTTTATAAATAAAAGATAAACAGTTAAACACTTGGAGAACGGGTATGGTTCTAGATTAGAACGAGTTGTCAAACACTTGGAGAACGGCTTGGAGAACGGGTTGTCAAACACTTGGAGAACGGGTATGGTTCTAGATTAGAAATACCTACTGCTAATTAAACTAGAAAAATATTGTAAAAGTGAAGGTTTTTCTGATTTTAAACTTCAGAAACTTCTAATATCAATTCAAATAACTAACTATCAAAAGATTACTTAAACTAAGCAAACAAAATAGAAAACGATGAAAATCACAATTAAAAGAACACTTCCATTTAGATTTGATTCACCTCTCTCATATGGTTAATTTCTTTAACAGTGCAATGCATTATTTAGTTGATTACCGAATTATATAATGACTAGTTATCTTGGGCGGATTTCCTAGTACTATTAATTAATGAACAACTAACTTCAATGATAATGCAATTAGTGAACACATAATTAATTAAATTCATTTGAACTATGAACAATATGATCTAGTGATTTCTTATCAAATGTCATGATAATCAATCTAAGCATAGCATGAGTTATCTAATACTCTCTAACATAGTCAAAATTAATTATCACTATTACCTAACCCTAGGATTGGATCACCCTCTAGTCCTAACATTTTAATGATCATAAATCAATTAAGATTCAAGTTAATGTAATCAGACTGGTCCTCTTAACTACACATAACTTGGTTATATGCAATAAAAATCATAACTTTAGCATGCAAGGTAAACGATCAATCGAACACAAGTATTAACCAAACTAAATAAATCCAATATCATCGAAATCAACACATAGTTTTGAGGATCATTTACTCTAAACGAAAGTTTAGGGTTATTAGCCTATAACTAAAGCATAAAAACGAATTAACACAAAGTAAATTGAATTAAACATGTTTAAATCAAGCAAACCAAATGATTAATTGTTATTTGTCTCTCGATCTCTTCGAATCTCGATTCGTTCTCGATCTCTGACTTCCTTAAGGTTTCTAAGGGTTCTCTGGTGTAACACCCAAATTCCAAGTATGATCTATCTTTCAAATTATGAAAATCCTAATGGTCACGATGTGGTGAAGGGATCACCACGACGTGGCATTTTTCCAGAATCACATATCTCATTTAAGTGGCTGCCATGGCATAGAGACTCATTTTTGGCAAACGCTAATTTTTGGGTTTTTGTGCTATTTAAGGGAAGTGATGGCTAGGGTTTCCTCCGCCCTCATCCTCCATCACATCCCAAAGCACCTTTGATAAACCCTGGCATCCCTTTGAAGTTATTGGCTCACTTTTTGTGTTTTTTTTTATCTTGGAAGGAATAAGAAGAAGTTTTTGCGCATAGATCTTCAAGAAACTCGTTTCTCCTACTTGTGTGCATCTTCTGGACTCATTGTAAGTCCACAAGTTTCCACCTTTTTTTCTCTCTCCTCTTAGATCAAGGTTTTACTTCATGTTTTGGCTCATTTTTGGGTTTGGGTTGGTTGGATGAGATGAAGTTAGCAACTTTATAGTTCACTTTAGTCCTTTGGTCACGATATCTTCTGGATCAAGAAAATTGTTTGAGTTTTGGAGAATCTAGCATGAGTTTTAGGTCATTTTATCTTCATTTTGACCTAGTGGGAAAAAGGACATGCATGGATCATCCATGTCCATAAAGTTTGCATTTTTCTAAACCATTAAATTCCGAAGAAGCATTATGGAAAGTTGGAACTGAAGGCTTAATGGATTGAGAGCTTAATCCATTAAGTTGTCTTTATGCAGTTTCCATAGCCAATGCGGAAAACTTCTGGGGGATGTTGTGTAGTCACGTTGGGCCCTTCCCTTTGGAACCGGAAGTACCTGAAACCATAAACGTAAAACTGTAAGCACAAAGCTTAGTGAGTTCCCTAGAATATCACATACCATACATATAATAGAGAATGTTATGTGTCAACCATAATGTTAAAATTATTGTCATGCCATGAGCCACATCGTGGTCTTTCATTGCCAAGCTAGGGGCCAAAACCCAGGTCTTATAAGCAAGTGTCAAGATCCACCTCCCGGTCTTCCATGCAAGCATCATAAAGACAACTAGCATCCTACATAGAATTGTTATGGTCCAGACCCTAGTCTTGCATATAATTTGTCGGGAGCCATATTCAGGTCTTTCATATAATTGGCAGGGTTCACCGCTTGGTCTTCCTACATAACATAATTCAGTGGGTCGGTATTGGTGCCTTCAACCCACGAGTACAGCGAGGAGACTCACTTGAACTATTCAACAGAAGCCCAACAACTACCTCATCGATAAAACAGCCAACACAAGCTTCCTAAGGCCCAACCGAAACCAATCCTTAGTCAAAAATTGGTCAAAAAGTCAACGGTGAAAGCTAAGGTCAGAATTGCCAACAACAGCCTTCCACGTCGTGGCCTTCTTTGGCCACGTCGTGGGCATAAAATGCCAAAACAGTCGCTGATTCTCCAGTCACCACGTTGTGGCAGCCTAAGGCCACGCTGTGAGGACTGGTTTGAACAACTTAACCCATTTTCTTCCGATCTCAAGAGTTCCAAAGCTCAAATTTGATCCTTTCCAAGGTCTTAATGGATAAAGTTTCTAACTTTATCCATTAGGAAGTTCCAAACCACCAAGATCTAGACTTTAAGTCTCAAAAGGGACCCAAAATGCATCTTTTTTAAATTAATTCATTAAGTCCAGATCTCCAACCTTCATATATGAATCAATATGATGTTTAGATGGATAAAGTTTCTAACTTTATCCATAAAAAAGTCACAAACTTTCAAGATCTAAACTTTATGCACTAAAATGACAAAAAAGTGGCAAATATGACAAATGACTAGATCTATGAAACTAATCAGCAAGTTAGAAGTTTTTTTACTCACAGTGGTCTAGGAATGATGTAATCTTGTTGGATCTATACTTGAACTTTTTTTCTATACACTTTCCCACCACATTGTTCTTCAAGATTCAACCCTCCAATGGAGAAATAAGCTCATAAATGATGCCAAGGATCAAAAACAAGTGAGAGAAGGCTAGGGTTTCTCAAGAATGATCTTGGGTGATGGAGGTTGGTAATGAGAGGGTTCCCCATAAGCTAGAGCCCTTAAATAGGGCTCAAAACCGAAGATTCAGGGTTTTGATCTGCCCAGATTACGCCAGGCGTAATCAAAAGTCCCCATTTCCCCTTCAACTTCAAACAACCATAACTTTTTCGTTTCAACTCCATTTTTGGCGTTCTTTATATGCACGAAAAGGTATTGAAGAGCCCCACAATCCTATGAAATTACTTTTAGCTTATTATATATTGAACAAAAAGCATAATTCACGCAAGAAACCCAATCTATAACTTTTCCATTTCTTCCCTTTGGATCTAATCTACGAATCAAGGGCTTAGACCTCACAACCAATGTTATAGACCTTTAATAAGGTCTAAAATTACTTTATTTAAGCCCAAAGCTTTTTCATGATCAAATTCCAGTCCACAAAATTTACAAACGACCCGAAACAGGGTGTTACAACCCTCCCCCACTTAAATTAGATTTCATCCTCGAAATCATTCCTTACTACTTCCATTGCCACACTAATCGACCCTCTTCTAATACTGCTATCAAGGCCCATTCTTAGCAGAAATGATTCATCCTGACAAAGAAATGAACCTTATCATTTTGTCCTCAACTATCGAAAGAAAACCCAACCGCTCTGCTCGAAAAATTAAAAACCCTAAACAGTTTATGACTTCCTAACAGACAAAATCATCTCATCCCACATCCATAAATAACTCCAATTTACAATCTGAACCAAACGAAACCCTTCCGACCCTGCATTATCTTGTTGATAACTAGAAAACAGAATCCCTGACCGTTTATTACTGCTGAACCCTTTACTCGAAAACAAAAGGCGACTCCCAAAACGAGTCTCAATCATTGATGCCATACACACGTACAATCACATCTTGTTACCAAACATTTGTGTTTTCGATCTAGCCGAGATCTCCCGGGTCCCGAGATGACTTACCAATTAACTGAAGTACCAAATTTCCAACCTGTTACTAAGTTGATAGCCTTTCACACGACCGTACCGCGAGACTCCGACCAAGAGTCTATCTGACAAAAGCTATCCTAGCCTACTTGCCAACATGGTTGCAACAGTCCTCAAGGGATGACATAACTGATCAGCACACAAGCATTTGATAGTCCACTCCATTCCCGATGAAGGTTACCGGTCCAACCGCAGTCTTACATCACACCCGACCCCAAAATGGCCTACAACCTTCCTCATTCTCGTGAATGTTGTGGCCCACCCATAATATCAAAACCCTTCATGCCATGGTCTAACTCTACTTAGTGAAGGCTATGAGCCAAATCGTAGATTCACAACACTCTCATAATTCTCATCGACCTGGTGAATGTTACGGCCCACACCACAGTCTTATAACACTTCCATATTGCTTGCCAGCCTAGTAAATGCTACGACCACCCCGTATTCTTACAACACTTCCATACTTCCTACCAACCCAGTGAATTCTACGGCCACCCCGCAGTCTTAAAACACTTACACCACTTTCTATCAATCTAGTGAATGCTACGAGCCACCCCGCAATCTTACAACACTCCCATAATGCCATGGCTCTAGTCCATGGTCATGCCAACTATTCCCCGAGAAAACTTAACCATGAATTAATACAAGCTGAAACTCTAATCTGTTGATTCTCAATAGGCGTTCGGGTCGTGCTTTGAACCTCAAGGCCTTCATCAGAAAAGAAGAAACAGAGAGGTCCTAACACAACCCTCAACCTGAGACTAGCCACGAATCCGTCATGTTCCAATGTCAGTGCTTCATGTCTTTAAACGAGATAACCCTGAATCTTCAATCTTTGCTTCCCTGGTTACAACTGACCACTGACATTATCCCTTGCATAATCCTTAGACTCATACCCCAATCTAACTGGTTACTCATTTGTCCTCATTTGTCCTCGAGCCGATCATCACAATTGCTTCCTTTTTGAGTCCCACAACTCAACTGGCACTACCTCAAGCAAGGCCGTCGAGACCTCAAAATCACTAACTCATCTAGGTTTGCACTATTCAACCCAAGCTGACATGACCACTAAGGCCCAAACAATTACCAGACCCATCATCAGCCTGATCAACCGTAACTGATAAACCAAATAAGACGGAAACACGTCGCAATGAATCATGGGTGCCAAACCATACAATCTATCATCAATCAACTCCTTAGAATCCTCGAAATTTTCCTTGATTCGAGTATGGATCCTGTGCTTTCAGTAGTATGGGCCCAATACTACCTTCCACAC